GGTGTTTTTTTTTGTGGGGGGGGGGGGGTAGGGCTAAGCAAAGAAAAAAGGGTTTTACATGAGATGGGAAAAGTTTTCATTTCTGTGACAATTGTCACTTCTGTGGCAATTGGGCTTCCAACTAATGTTAACGAGAGAAAAAGAAAATAGGGGTTAAGGGCATAATTGGAAAGGAGAATTCTGCTAGAGGGAGTGTAGGAGACTAGCAGGAGACAGCTGTCACGAGGGGATTGGGGCAGAAGATCTTACGAATCATAAAAGGGCCAAGGGGAACATGTGGATATGAGGGGAGCAAGGAATTTTGGGGTGGACAGTGGATGGGTGATTGTTGTCACTGGGCAGAGAACCTTCTCTGAATATCTTTTCTTTTCTCAAGATTCTATTTGCCTTTTTCATGCACAATTTGTACTGCAACCAACGATAGTTCCTTGAATTCTTATCAAACATTAATAGTAAAATTTGAGTTCCTATCAGGTTCTAGCTTAGAACAGTGTAAACAGAGAAGATGAGAGATAATAGACACAGGTCACAGTAGATGGTAATGCTTTTATACCACATTAATGCTGAAAGACTGATTGTGAGAAATTGTGTATTCTGTACACAAATCTATCTTATTTATATACCAGTATTGAGCCATTAAGCATCAAAGCTAATCAAGAGCTAATTATAGATCTAATAAACAACTATAAATTCCAGTAATGACCATAGTTGAGTAATAATCTAGCATGTGCTGCATATGCTAGAATCTTGATTACCATGATATTCTAGATCAAGACTAATATTCTAGCAATACGTTAAAATTGATACAATGAAGATTCATGTAGTTGACCTTCACGATCTAATGCGTTTTCATTTTCTTGATGTTTGGTGATTTGATATAGTGGGAAATGCAATGTTTGGAATCAAATTAGTAATTATAATGGCTGGCTATAAATATGAATGTTGTAGTACAGCATTTCTGTTCTAATTATCATCTAAATGCCTTATGTATAATTAAATTTTATGCGCATCAAATTTTTGACATGTTGGGTCAGGTGGCAGTTACTGAGCTATATTCTTTTGGACAGGTAGCAGCCATTGTCTTTACCGAAGACTTGAAAAGATTGTATGTGACAATGAAAGAAGGTTTTCCATTGGAATTTGTTGTAAGTTACTTCAAAGTTGCTACTGGTGATCAGAAATCTCAAATCTCTTTCCAAGGTTATCCAGCTGGTACCCTTCAGTGATATTTGATTAACATAGCTCTTATTTGGTAGGTGGATATCCCTCTCGATCCTTATCTGTTTGAGATTATTACAAGTTCTGGAGTTGAAGTAGATCTGCTTCAGAAGCGACAGATCCATTATTTCATGAAGGTTGTGCTTGCATTAGTACCTGGAATACTTATTCTCTGGCTTATTAGGGAGTCTGTTATGCTTCTACACATTACTTCCAAGCGGTTCCTTTACAAGAAGTATAATCAACTCTTTGATATGGCTCATGCAGAAAATTTCATTCTGGTAAGCTTTTGAAATACTCTTTAAATTCTTGTTTTGGGTCTAAAAGTTTGCACCTGATGCTTAATTTTTGGTTGCAACCCACCCAAACAATAACCCAAATACTGTTCTTAGGAGGGTAAACAATTAACTTGTGATGAGAGAAATTCAAATGCTTCTATAAACTCCACCTCTAGTTGCAAGTCGGCCAATACTTTAAAAGGATTTTCGTACTGTTGCCCCCCAAAATTTCCCGCTTTAACTTCTCTCATGCAAAATGGATAGTAGAACCTTCCTTGTTTAACTTTGCTAATTTAATCTTCTCATCTACACTAATATTCTGAACTTCAAAATAAGTCTCTGCCCTAGTGAATAATGATCCACCCAATAGGGTCATCTCCATTGAAAGATGGAAGTTCCGCTTCTTGGCTGCCATCTGGTACTCATCTATGTCATGATTGATTGAATCTGATCCTTTCTCCTCTTCTTTGTTCGATGAACTTTCTTTCTCTTCTTCACATTTTCCCATTAATTTCCTCATTTCCATCAAAATCTTCTCAAAATTTGCTTATTTCTCATCCAAACCTCAATTCTGGCTTCCAGCTCTTCCATTTTCTCTTGCAATTCGTCCAACCTCTTTGTCACACATTTCATGATTTTACTCTTCACTGTTCACAAGAATTCCCTCCTTTTGATCTGGCAGGTTGGACAAAATTGATGGAATACCAGTTGATAAAAATAATTGAAGACAACATTGGATATTGAAATCACACGCAATATAGCAAAACACTAGCTGTCCCATAGACAAATGTATCCTATTACACATACATCAGTGCATTTGCTGTCCCAGAGACAAAAGTCTCCTACAGCGAGTATTCTTTGTCCACAAACTAAAAATAACTTCACAACCTACAATCAGATATATATTCCTAATAAATAACTACCAGCAGTTCTTTTCTACCCAACTGCCATCCTGCAGTTTCTGATACAAAACTAACTTCTAGCTGTAATTTTCTATACATAACTGTCATCTTGAAGTTTCTAATAAGAACTGATTTCTAAAGCAGTTATTTTCTGTACATAATTGCACCTAACTCTCAGTTCCTATGAGAAACAAAAATTACAGTATATAGTTGATTTTTTCATAAAATGTTAACAATGTTTATTCTGTTCAGCGATTGAAATACTCTTGCAAATACTATCACCATATGACAAATTTTTAGCCAAAAGATTTTTTTAGGATAAAACTTCCATGCAGTATCTGTTCTCCAATCAAAATTAGAGTTTCATCTTGGTAATATGCATAATAAATGATTTTATTAAATGTTAACGTGTATTGCTGATGTAAAACTTGAATTCTGATTATATAAAAACTACAATAATACCTATAGTACTTTATCTAAGTTGTCTTTTTTAATAGGAAAATGATGTGAATTCTAGATTGTTCTACTATTTATTTTTTTGGGTTTTGGAAGAGAGAGACACATGTTCATTTAATTACAGTGACCATGTCTTCCTCCCTTGAAATGTTCATGGCTTTATGTACAAATTAAATCCAGCGTCCGCTTCAAATTTGGTAATTTATCTTTCTCCTTTTCTACCAGTTTTATTATTAGTTTTGTTCCTCTGTTTGTCAGCCAGTTGGAGATGTTGGTGAAACGAAATCAATGTACAAGGAAGTTGTGTTGGGGGGTGATGTTTGGGATCTTCTTGATGAGTTGATGATATATATGGGAAATCCTATGCAGTTCTATGAAAGGGACGTGCAGTTTGTTCGGGTAAAACATTTGATTTTTTCATAATCAGTTATTCTCCTCAGTGCTATGTTTTAAGTGACATGATATGAGGTAAGTTATTTGATGAGAGAGCACATTGCACTTGCAGGGTGTTCTACTCTCTGGACCTCCAGGAACAGGAAAAACACTTTTTGCCAGGACACTTGCAAAAGAAAGTGGTTTACCTTTTGTATTTGCTTCGGGTGCTGAGTTCACAGATAGTGAAAAAAGTGGAGCAGCTAGAATCAATGAGATGTTTTCCATTGCTAGGAGAAATGTAAGCAAGTAAATACTAGATACTTCTAATATCTAACACAAGTTAAAAAGTCAATGATGGTCTGATGTCATATTTTGTTGCATGCACTTGATTAGATATATGCATGCCAGGTGTTGTTGATCCGTTTTACTATTTATCAGATAAACTATAATTACATGTTGTAGCTTTGCTGCAAATCTTTGGTTACCTTTTTGAAAATATGAACAATTATTTCATTTTCATGCTCTGTAATTATCATGATGACTACGGGAAACATCATATGTATGTCTTGTGATTGTAGGTCTCATAAGTAGGAAAATGGAAAAGTTAGAAAAATCTACATTTTTGGGAATTTGTAAATTGCCACATTTATTAGTAATGAGAAATGCTAACATGTTCTCTAACACAATATTTTAAACATACTCTTTAATATTAGCTGAAATTGATTGGAAATCACAAAATTTGTAGGTCCCACTTCTTATTTGATGAACCCAACTCATAATTTTGTAGTTTTTAATAAATTTTGACCAATAATAGAGGTGTGTTAGAAGGAGTGTTGCTAGCAATCCTCATGCCCAACTGTTGGGCTTGGTGCGTGTATTAATGATGGGTGACTCTTTTAGAGTAAATTTAAATAGTTTTGATCCTAGGTAGTCTAATAATGACACTATAGTGGGTAATCTAATAGGCTTCACAACAATTGCTAGGATAAGATTTGATACCATCTTACGAAAGTTAATATGGGCTTAACATTACAAAATCAACTTGTAAGGTAAATATTACTTTCCACTTTATACTTTAGTTTGGTTATATCACTCGTTGATGTGAGATCTCCACTACACTTCTCGCATGTTGAGGGCTAGACATCTTGAATATGAAATTTACTTGACTGGACATTTGTAGATGGCTTGATAACAGCCGAATAGTGAGTGGCCTGAGAATCGAACAACACTTGCTAGAATATGCTCTGATACCATCTTAACAAGGTGAATTTGGGCCTAACTTTACAAAATTGGCTTGTAAAGTAAGGATTGCTTCTCAGTTATATACTCTTATTTTGGTTAGATTACAAGTCGATGTAGGATCTCCAACAATAGTCAAGAAAGTTGAGTTTTTTTTTTTTTTTGGGGAAGGAGGTAGTGCGTTTGCATTGGTTTCCTCCTTCCATTGTTTCAGATAGAGACCAGATTTTTATGAGCTTATTTTGTAAGGAGGCTATTCTTAGGGCAAGAACTCAAGTTTAGCATTGCCTATCCACAAATGGATGGCTAAAAAAAGGTCACAAACCTCTATTTAACACCAACTATAATTGATATGAACCTAGAGGGATGGATTCATTTTACGGATCTATCTAGGCTGGAATGCTCATAATTAAGAAAAAGAAAAAAAATATGAATTGAGGTAAGAAATGGAAGAACAACGCCACAATCCCTAAAGATTGATAAGTTGAGGAAGATTCGCCACTTTGAATTAGGAAATTCAAGGATAAGAATCAAAAGTAGTTCCTATGAACCTAGAGAGAGAATCCTCTCAATTGGAAAAATATCCAAATTTTGACTAATTCATTCTCTTTCCAAATTTTTTACAAAAAGTTCTTATTTATAAGCTTAGATGGGCAAGATGACATAAATTCCTGCTAATTTCCCACTAACACTTAATATCCACTAGAATTGACTCCTCACTAGCCCACTAAGTCATTAAATTCCATTAAGAAGCCTAAAACACTAAATGCTGGCCTAGGTAACTTGGAAAGTCATCTGACTTATTTAATAAAATTAATAAAACGAAAATTACATTAAAAAAATAAGATAATGGACTTATTTAATTATTCATCCCCAAACTACTTAAATTCCAGCCCATTAATCCTTTTTTTTATAATGACTTTGGACTTGTCAGTCTTCAATTTTTACCCAATTGGATTCACATCAATAATGCCTCCATAATTTTTAGAGCTTTGTATCCTTTATTGTTAAAAGGGACAACCATTCCTTCAAAGGTGGATGAGGTGAATAAATTGGCACAACATGATGAGCTGCTAGAGGATTTGAGGAGCAATTTTCTCAAACCCCAGGACCAGGTGCGAGTTTATGCCAACAAGGTCACAAGAAGTGAATACATTGAGGGGGTATTGAGTCTTTGTTAACCCAACCTTGTAGGATGATGTCATTAGCTATGAAGCCTAATAGTTATAAAAAGCTGAGCCCTCACTTTTATGGCCCTTACAAAACACTGAAGAAGATAGGCACTGTGGCCTACAGGCTAGAATTGCTTTCGCATTGAAGGATACATCCAGTATTTCAAATATCATTATGGAAGAAAGCTATCGGAACTAGTCAGCAATCCCAGCCATTCCTATTTGACCTTCACGTTAAAGGATTTGATAATAAGAAGAAATCAACACCTTTTGTTAATGTACAGTTTATGGGATTTCATTGACCATGTGGTTGGATCGGAATGCTTGTCTTTCCTAGGGTTTATCTTTGCCTTTAAATTTTCTTTCTGGTAGATTTGTAAATTGTTGTGTTTTCTTTGGTGTTTCACATATGGTTTATTTCAGGGGTTCAGTGTTTCAGGCATGCAAAATGTTAAGAAAGTTCTTTTGTGTGCACTGACTAGTTTTATAGTTCTTTGGTTACTGTTTATTTGTTATGGTTTCCTTTTTTGATCTTAGGGTTCCTTATCCTCCATTTTTTGAACTTATTTCTCTTTCTAATTCTTATAGAAATTCTCATTAATAAAAAATAGATACCATTACAATGAGATAATTTTTACAGGTTTGTACTCTATAAAAGTGGATGATGTTTTGAGGTTGTGAATGTTCTTTATTTTTCTGCAGGCACCTTGTTTTGTATTTGTGGATGAAATAGATGCTATTGCTGGAAGACACGCTAGGAAGGATCCACGAAGAAGGGCAACTTTTGAGGCTCTTATTGCACAGCTTGATGGGGAGTAAGTTACCACTTTGAAAACGGGAGGTTATATTACATTTGAAAGATTTGCAAAGGCCTTGCTTGGATAAACTTTTCCATAAACATTTATAGAAGTAGAAAATAAAAATAAAAATGAGTAGTTGGATGAGAGAGCTACTTAAAAGTTGAAGTCTTTAAGTTGATTTGAACTTATTGGAGAAACTTAATTCATTTTACCTTATTATTTTTTTCTCCTTAAAGTGCTTATGGAGAAGTTTATTCAAACAAAGTCATTATCTAAATCAGAATCTATTTCTTGTTTGATGGTTTGAGCCCTCCCATGGTGAGATTAGCTTTTATCTTGTGCTATATAACAGTTATATAAGGTGAAAACTTGTATTGTCACACCAAATACAGTATGAACAAAGTTTTAGTGTTAGAGATGACTTTCTGGATTAGTGTCCAAAACTTCCTGATCTTGAGAAGTTGGCTTCTGTAGTGAGGACATTTTATTTGTAATTTTAATTTTCTTTAAGGATGCCATGAATAACCATGCATAGAGATAGAGAAAAAAGGAGTGAATGAGCTTGGGTCTTTGGGATATAAATGATTCAAACAAAGATCTCAAGAGACTCAAAAAACAGAGAATGGTGGAACAAAGAGAACAAGAGAAACATAAAGAAAAACGAGAGGGACAAAAGCACAAAATAAATTGATGAGAATAAAAGAGTAACGAGATCAGTCTTATCAATTGCAAATTGCAGAAAATAGTGAAATGTATAAAAATGTAAGTTACATGCAAATAAAAATAAAGTGCATAAAAATTGTTATATCAACTCAAGTTCAATTTGCTTGAGACTTGGCAGAGTACAAGAGGATGTAGGTTACATGATGCAAAAATGACACCATAGCAGTTGCAATTGCAGATGGAGTTGTGATTGCGTATTCAAAGAATTTTGCAATGCATTTGTGTTATATCACTGCTATAGGGCTATTTAACAAAATGTGATTGCGGATTCAAAGAATTTTGCAATGCAATTGTGTCATAGCACTGCAATAGGGCTATTTAACTACACTGAACAAGATTACCAAAGAAAAATGAAAAAAAATAAAATAAAACTGAGAATGAGAACAAGAAAGATGTTAAAATAGCTGCTAGATGGGTTGCCGGAGGATTGCATGTCCTTGAGTCAGGTAGTACTCATAAGGTAGAAGAGGAGAGGAGTGAGGCATGATAACTATGAACTTTGAAAGGGTCTGAAACCCATATTTTACCCAAAATCCCAAAATGATCTCTATAAAATGCCTCTCTAATGTGGATATTGGAGGGCATTCTTAGGATTTTGGACACCATTATTAGCATGTTGGTGCTTTAGTACTGCGAAGTGCTGCTACAATGAAGTACTATTAGAATAGCTTACTAAGGAAGCCTCTTATTTTTTAATATTTTGTATTTTTGATGTTAATGGCTTAGGCTTTTAACCTTTTCAGCCTATTTTGTGTATGTGATTTACATTGTATACATATATAAAAGAAGAAAATTAGTGGAGATCAACTTATTGATTTTTCCCAAACCTGAAAATTTCAATATTCAAGTTGGTATAAGAGCGGGTTCAATCTCGCTCTGCAGTCCCATCTTATTTCAGCACTGTTTGCCGCTGTTGGCAACGACCAATTTTTTCAAGTGTAGGGTTGAGCGCAATCCAACTTGTTGGTTTTAGGGACATCGGAGTCTCCATGCACTCACGTGCCAACCCAATTTCTTGTTCAATCAAGTGTGTTTGGCTCACGTGCCATCGTTTGCTCATCGGAATTCTGACATGTTGCCATGGTTGTGTTCGTCAGCCTTTTTTGAGTCTGTTCCAACCCTCAGTTTATTGTTCTGGGCAACTGTTTGGATCGTGATTGCTGTTCATCTTCTTCTCTTTGTCTTTTTCTTTGTCTTTCTCTTATGGCATCTTCAGGGCTTGCACTTGCTATTGTTGGGACACCTATTATTACTACAAAAAAGCTAAATGAAAAGAACTATTTGTCATGAACTGCATCTGTGGAACTTTGGTTTCTTGGTCAAGGGCGCCATGACCACCTAGAAAAGGAAGACATTGAGGGGTCAATAGAGAGTAAGGCTTAGTGGAAGAAAATTGATTTCTAGTTATGTGTTGTGTTTTGGCAATCTGTAGAATCCAATATATTGGGAATGCTTAGAGCCTTTAAAACTTGTTGCTCTTTTTGGAAGAAGGCTCAAAGTATCTATGCTATGACATTTGGCGACTATATGACACTGCCCAAAAATTAGCCTCTCTTTCTCATGTGGCCGAAGCTCAAGCTACTGTGGAAAAGCTAAAATTGTTCCTTGATGATGATTCATTGGAAGGAATAAAGAAAAAACATGATAGGCTATATATGGTGATGATTTTACAAACCTTGCATTCGGATTTTAATCATGTTCGTGATCAACTCTTGACTGGTCATGAAATTTCCTCAATGGACAACCTAATTACCAAACTACTTAGAGTTCCAATTGAAGCTAAGAGTGAAAATCCTGCTACCAGTGTTGAAGCTTCTACTATGGTCTCTTCCAAGGGGAGAGGTGGTCGTGGAATTTTCTCGATGTACTTGGGTATAAATGAAAGATCGTTTTGAACTTTTGTCTATTTTTGATTCTTTCTTTAATGAAATTACGAACCAATTTGGAAAAATAATCAAAATTCTTAGAAGTGACAATGCCAAAGAATATTTCTCCTCTGAATTGTGTTCCTTTTCATCCTCACAGGGTGTTTTACATCGGTCTACATGTCCACACACACCCCAACAAAATGGAATAGCAGAAAGAAAAAATATACACCTTGTGGAGATTGCACGCACCGTAATGCAATTCTCACAACTTGTTTTCTAATGTTCCTATACATCATTGGGGTGATGCAATTCTTACAACTTGTTTTCTAATGAACAAAATGCCATCTTCTCGTGAGAATAAAATTCCTTACTCGGTTATTTTTCCAAAGGAACTCTTGTTTCATGTCTCACCTAGAGTCTTTGGGTGTACATGTTTTGTCCATGATGTCTCTTTTGGTTTGCACCAGCAATCTTGTTTTAGACCAGCAAACCTTCAACAAGCCAACACCAGCAATCTTCTATCCCCAGCCATTTCCACCAAGAGCAATTGAAAGCAAGAAGATGGAAGAGGTAGATAAATAGATTTTGGATGTTTTCAGAAAGGTTGAGGTGAATATACCTCTTTTGGATGCAATTAAGCAAATACCAAGGTATGCCAAATTCTTGAAGGAGCTGTGCACTCATAAGAGAAAGCTAAAAGGTAATGAGAGGATCAGTATGAGCAGAAGTGTTTCTACACTCATAGGTAAACCTGTTCCTCATATTCCTGAGAAGTGTAATGATTCTGACACATTTACTATACCTTGCACTTGAAAAAAGGAACATAATATTATTTGAATAATATTTGAATTGGTTTATTATTGAGAGTCTGTACAAAATACATTTATATAGACTACTAGTCTCCTAATTAAGGAAATAAGGAAATAAAAACTGTACAAATCAAATCAGCCAAATCTGTCCTAATTACAGAACAAATCTCCTAATTATTATAGAACAAATTTGTCAGAAATCTGTCCTAATTATAGAACAAATCTCCTAATTATTATAGAACAAATCTGTCACAAATCTGTTCTAATTACATTTTACAACACTCCCCCTCAAGCTGGTGAATGTATATCTATCATTCCCAGCTTGCAAGTAAGATCTTTAAATTGCTTGGTGGGAAGTCCCTTAGTGAACATGTCTGCCAACTGCAGTCTTGAAGGAATGTACTCGGTGGCTATAAGACCGCTGTCCAATTTTTCCTTAATGAAATGTTGGTCTATCTCTATGTGCTTTGTCCGATCATGTTGAACTGGATTGTGCGCAATGCTGATGGCTGATTTATTATCACAAACCAGTCTCATAGGAGCTTCATACTTTATTTTGAGGTCATCAAGTATTATCTTCATCCATAACAATTCACAGACCCCTTGTGCCATAGCTCTAAATTCTGCCTCTGCACTTGATCTTGCAACCACATTTTGCTTCTTGCTCCTCCATGTCACCAAATTTCCACCCAAGAACATGCAATATCCTGTGGTGGACCTCCTATCATCAACTGATCCTGCATAGTCAGCATCAGTATACACTTCCATGGATAAGTTCCCCTCCTTTTTAAATAGCAATCCTTTCCCTGGAGAAGCCTTCAAGTACTGAATAATTCTATTTACTGCTTGCAAGTGTCTTTCTTTTCGATCATGCATGAACTGACTAACCACACTAACTGCATAGGCTATGTCTGGTCTAGTGTGGGATAAATAGATGAGCTTTCCCACAAGTCTCTGGTGCTGTGTCTTATCCACCTTTGGGCTTTCCTCATCATTCCCAATTCTATGATTTTGCTCTATGGGTGCTTCAGTGGTCTTACAGCCCAACTTACCAGTCTCTTTAAGAAGATCAAGAATGTATTTCCTTTGAGAAATAAAGATACCTTGTTTGGAGCATAGTAGTCAATCCCGGAGCGGAGCGGTCGACCCTAAAAACGGGATAGCGGGATGACGCGGAGCGGGATAACCGCTATTTTAATATTAATTTATATATATTAAATAATTAATAATATATATAATAGCTAAAAAAAACTCTAACTTAATGCATTAAACATTTTTAATAATTAAAAGTTCATAGTACTCAAGCAATACATAAAATGTCTTCAAAACAAAGTGCTAAAGTTCTAAGTAAGTAAAGAATTAAATTTAATTAGAAATTTAAAAAAATTGTTGAATTAAATTTAATCAGAAATTAAAAATAAAATCTGCTGAATTAAATTTAATTAGAAATTAAAAAAAATTGCTGAATTAAATATAATCAGAAATTAAAAATAAAATTTGCTAAATTAAATTTATTCAGAAATTAAAAAAAAATTCTGCTTAATTAAATTTAATGAGAAATAAAAAAAAAATCTGTTGAAATATAAAATAGGAATAGAAAAGAGAAAGAAGACAG